TTTAAATACAGAATATTCTGTAGACTGCAGACTTTTGTATACATTTTGTGTACCTTGTTTATGACACACAACAGGATGCATACTATTTAAAGATTTCTGTTATCTTTCCAGATTTTCCAATACAAAAACAGCCAATTCCCTAGGAAGTATTTGGAAGTCTGAAGAAACCACATGAAGATGATGATGATTGAAATTGGCACCAAGTGTCGCTTGACTCTCAAATAAATACAGACAGGGGAAGAATGTTCATATAGTAAATGGGTTGTTAATGTGTTACAGTATAATTTCATATACTGGTGAGTTTTACACATATTTTAATGTCAACTTCTTTTCATACATTAGAAAAATCTCTGAAACTGAGCAAATGACAGTAATTGCCACTAAAAGAGTATGGTGATGAATAATGTTAAACAATTTCAGTCATGTGACATTTTATAGTCACAGTTGGCAGTTGGTAATCTGCAAGTGTAAACGTGTTTTGTGTAACTGAAATTATAAGAGACACTGAAGCAGTGACATGACAGTGCCTTCTGACATTCCATACCCTTCACAAATCATAAACTGTTTTTTTGTGTGTGTGTGTATTCCAGCAGCAGCATCTTCAGGAGTTTTGCATAAATATTATTCAAAATTTATGGACTGAACAATAGAAGAAAGTTCCCTTCTATATGATACCTCTTGGTGCTGTAATGAAATGTAATGANTGCTGTGACCTTCTCACAACCATGAATGCATAGTGATGTTGGAACGCATGCTCCATGCATGTGGTGTAATATGAAGGTGGACAAAGCGCATTGCAGATTATGTATTCATGGGAGTCTGTATAATTGCCTGTGGCATGGGAAATAATTTTTAATTAACACTTTATTAATATGAGCGTGTTGGATCTACATCATTACACTACAAATATTTTAATTCAATTTGATGCACTATATGCAAATATCTGTCAAACAAAATTTTATACTAATTTCTTTCACTCTGCACGATGGAGCCAATCATTAGGTCAATTTTAAAACGCCATTTTGTGTTATTCATGAAAGAATTCACAGAAATTATTAATACCAGAATTTCAGAACATATATTGTACAGATGGACTAGAACACTGGTCACTCAACCAAGGCTTAATGTAGAAATGTAAACAGACTTTGACATTGAAGAAAGCAGTCTTCTGGGATTTGGCACTGTGTATATGTGGTGTTAACCGACGTTAACAGACTTTGACAACATTGGAACAGCTGATGCCTACCAGCTGATTCTGGGGAGCGGGAGCGCCAACAACAAGATAGTAATTAAAATAGTCAATTAATGAAAAATGACTGTTTTCTTACATTTCTAACACTTTCACTCATCATGAAATAACATCTTATGAAATTGAAGCATTAATTCATTTTCTATATTTGGATTTTATATCTGGTAAGGATTTATATAATTTAATTTTTAGGGGGTTGGAATTCTGATATGTTTGTCGTGGTATGTTGCAAAAAAGTCAGAAAGTAATGGATAAATATGTAAGTTTTCATGTTGAATGTTCATTAAAATGTTCGTTCATTGACAAACGTCTCAATGAAACCGTAGTTAGTTATTATTTTCGAAATCTGTACGGTGCTTTTGGTTTTTTTTTCCTTTGTATATATGTATATGTAGGCGAGTCAAATGAAAACCGTAAAACTGAGATAAAAATTCGAAATATCGCGCCATTGTCCTATATGTTGGCAGACATGTTACCAATGCTATAAAGAGTATCCTATAGGTGGCAGTATAATTCAGACAAACAGAACACCATCACGACCATCACAGTGCCGGTTTGAAGATGGCTGCTGGAATAGGTACATGCAGGAAAGAACAAAAACGTTCTGTAATTTGTTTTTTGGTCAGTGAAGGTGTGAAACGGATTGAAGTTCATCGACAGATGAAGGTTCGGTATGGTGATGCATGCTTGTCACAGCAGCAAGTGTACGAGTGGAGTAGGAAATTCAGAAATGGTGTGATGTCTGGCAGACGCTCCTCACCCGGGTCAGGTGCACAGAGTTGTGACCCCTGAGTCTGATGCAGCAGTTGAAGCCCTAGCGATGGAGAATCGCCAAGTGTCGGTGGATGAAATAGCCTAAATTCTTAACATGAATCGCGGATAAGCACACCATGTCATTCATGATGTGCTCCAGTTTCACAAAGTGTCTGCAAGGTTGGTGCCACAGCAGCTGACTCCAGAATTGAAACAACAACAACAATGTGTTGACACCTGTAAAGAACTTCTGCGGCGCCTTGAAGCAGAAGGTGGTGGCTACCTTTTGAGAATCGCTACTGGTGATGAAACTTGGGTGTACTACCACCAACCACAAACAAAGAGAACAAGCAAGGAATGGCATCATTCCTCATCACCAAAATCCAAGAAGTTCTGAATCGCATTAATGCAGTTCCTGTAAGCATCCGTACATCAAAGTATGAATGCATATTCTTAATAACTGCTGCAGACCAGCTCAGTAAATGTAACGGCAGTAAGCTGAAATTTCTGATTTATCTGTGCAGATTAGCAAGATAGCGATCATGTGATTGTTTTTTATACACATTGCGTTAACTAATCGGGTTAGTATCAACGGTATGAACTGTTAGCTTTACGGTTTGCAGGTCTAACGTATAAGAGCCACATGGATACACAACAAAGGCGTATATTACTTTTGTCTACCTCTGTAGTGTATGGTTCCGAGTATCTTCATTATGCAACGGATGACATAAATAAGTTTTTGAAAAGTAAGTTGTGGCATTCGACCGCATGGTAACTGAAATTACAAGAGCCCAGTGCTCAAGTACCAGTGTTATTAGATATACGAGTATAATGCATTATACCCATATAAATACCTCGTGCTTTTGTCATCCTTGCAGGTACAATGTTTCACATATCCTGTTTGTACCATATGCATTACATGATTGTGATGAATACGCAAATAAAGTTACAGGTGCCTTCGAGAAGTGGGGTGATTGATGCCAGTATATTGTATCGTTCATAACTGCAACTGTTAATTTGTGTATTTATAATACAGAGACCAGTTGGGGTGCATAATTTATAAGTTTTTTACAGACTGAACCTCAAAATAAAAAATTTGAGAAAGGTTAGTTTAAATAACTAAATAAAAGCCAATTTCAGAATAGACACCATAGTGGATACTTAGCCCCAATATTTAATATGTAGTTACACCTTTTGTATTAAAAATAAGGAAACGTGTCAGTTTGGAAGTCCACCCTCACTGTGATAACACCGACTGTACCCAAGAACATACCAAATTTATTCCAGAATTTAGGTTTTCACATAGTAAGTCCCTTGAAAATGTTAGTCTTTCTACTTGGATTGTAAACCAGACCATTCTCAGAACCGGTTTTATAATTACAGAGCCCATCAAAATATATATTTATAGTTGTTCTAATCTAACTTAACCACATGGTGGAATGGAGAACCCTAGAAGAAGCCTGAGGAAAGGACCTCCGTAGGGTGTGTCAGTGCTCATCCATATCCTTGATTCCTCCCATTCTGCGTTATATAACCTGTGTATAAATTAAGGAAAATAGGCATGCCTTCATTTCTGAAATTACTTTATTGTTTATGTGACAATACCTTTAAAACAGCAGCATAGGCTGGAATAGTAGGATGATTATGAATAGCAACTTGAGAAAGCAGCAGACTTAGCCTTTTTATAATTTTAAAGTGTTAGCTCAGGAAAGACAAGAAAATCACATTGTGACATTGGGTAATTAAGCCTTTAGGCTAAAAGAGGCATTAAAGAATTTCCTGACTACCAACTCTTTCTACACTGTGGAGGAATACTATTGTTATAAATAAGAATTTTGAAATTTGAATATATCTAAAGTATTGAAATTGCTGATTTTATGAGTGTAAATTTTTATTATTTTGATTGTAAGATGTCAGCTTTATGTTTTTAAATGTACTATTTTGTGTATAAATATTGTGACTATCTTGCATGTTTTTGTAATTTGTCTCATCATGTATAAGAAAATTTATTGTGTTGACTGGTTTCAATCATTTTTGAAACTATGCATGTAAGGGACTTGTTCCACATCCAGTGGCCTTCCAGCCCCTCTGGATCTATGGAATTGGAAATAAATATGAATGAATATGAATAGAAGAACTTTAATGTGGACCCAAGATCTCTCATAGCATTACATTCTGTTTACTTCCATATTCTTGGATGGGAAGTAACCACCTCCTGTATGTTGTACAATTATGTTTCTAGGTTACAAAGTAAACAGTATCCACACCTCAGAAGATCCAGCTATCTAGATATAGTTAATGTTACCATTACTTCAGCGGAAGTCTTAAGCACAATATTTTCATTAAAGAATAAGACCTCTAGTGGATACGATGGGTTGTCTAATAAAATCATCAAGTTATGTGGGGCGCAGATAGTTAAGCCCCTTACTCACATCTACAATCTTTCCTTAACAACAGGTATATACCCAGATCGACTAAAATACGCTAACATTATACCATGCTTTAAAAAAGGTGATACATCTGAAATATCTAATTATAGGCCTATTTCTTTATTGACAGGTTTTTCTAAATTATTTGAAATATTAGTCTTTAATAGACTAAAACAACATTTGACAAACAATAATATTATTGTGGATGGGCAATTTGGATTCACAAATGGTATATCTACTCAAAATGCTATCTTCAAACTAACAGAAACTATTTATAAGGCATGCAATGACAAAGAACTAGTGGTAGGTGTATTTTGTGACCTTACAAGGGCTTTTGATTGTGTCAAGCACAACCTACTAATCCAAAAGTTAGGACATTATGGTATTAAAGGATGTATTTTGAAATGGCTCAAATCATATTTACATAATAGGAAACAGAACGGTATTACACACTCATGACTCAACCACCTTTCTTTCTAGATGGGTAACCTGCAGACATGGTGTTCCCCAGGGTTCTGTCTTGGGACCATTACTATTTAATGTTTACATCAACGACCTACCAAGTACACTAGATGGTTTGGCTCATACCATTCTTTACGCGGATGATACCTCCATTATTGTTTCCTCAAAAGACATCTCAACATTGAATCATAAAATAAATAAAATAATGAATCATATCTATGAATGGTTTCAAAATAATCAATTAGTCCTTAATCTAAAGAAGATGCATGTAATTAAATTTACTACGCCTATGACCATGGACTATCCATTACATGTGGAATATAACGATCCAAGTTCTTAATATTGATGAAAGTGTTAATTTCTTGGGTGTGTGCCTTGACAGTCATCTCAAGTGGAAACAATATTCGGATAATTTAATAAAAAAATTAAGTACTGCAATTTTCATGCTTAGAAAATTGCAGCCTATGGTGAGTGGACAAGTTTTACGCATGGTTTACTTTTCTCATGTGCAGGCTCAACTTACTTACGGTATCATTTTTTGGGGCTCTACTTCATTAATGTAGTGGTCGAATGCTTCGGTGGGCGAGTGCGCAGCACTTCTGTTTCGTATTCGGGATATCCCGGGTTCGAATCTCGGCCGGTGACCGAGTATTCTGAGTATCGCATTCTCCACAGCCTATCCAGGAAAATGAAAGGATAGTATTTCTCAAATCAGATGACCGCTTTCTTCCAGCTCCTTTTCAACTAATTACTCACTAATTACCCTGCCATTCAACGCTAATTAATCAGAGCTATTAACAGCGTCGCTAAATAGGGCATAAAAATATCACCTGTGGTAGCTCATTAAATGAAATGACGGGAGGATGGAGAAAACTGCATAATGAGGAGCTTCATAACTTATACTCTTCTCCAAGTATAATTAGAATGATCAAGTAAAAGAGGATGAGATGGGCAGGGCATATAGCACGAATGGAGGAGACGAGAAATACATATAGGATATTTGTGGGAAAGCCAGAAGGAAAGAGACCACTGGGAAGACCAAGACGTAGGTGGGTGGACAATATTACAATGGATCTTTGAGAGATAGGATGGTATGGATTGGATTGATCTGGCTCAGGATAGGGACCAGTGGAGGGTGAACACGGTAATGAGCCTTCGGGTTCCATAAAATGCTGGGAAGTTCTTGAGTAGCGGCACAATTGATGGCTTCTCAAGAAGGGCTCAGCTCCATGAGTGAGTGAGGGTAGCTCATAAAGATGACTAGATACGGGCTGGAAACAGAAGTTTGAACACCAGCGGGATAGTATAGCTCTGAGACCTACCCTACAGATGAACACCGGGACAGTTTATGTGGGAACCAGTCTGATAGGTTGCACTGAGCCCGTCACAGCAGTCGGTGGGAGATGATTGCTTAACACTAATGTGTGGGTTTGTTGGAGGTAACAGGTAGAGAAAGCCGTTACACGCAAACACATTAACACAGAAATCACCGTTCGAGTGTCCAGGGCTCTAGTGGGTTCTTCCGCTTGCACAAGCATTCAGGTCACCGCCAGACCTCCGTGATCCATAGCTTCGCCTAGAAGCCTGCAGAGAAAATAGCGAGTCGGCGAGAATGTGGTTTACTATTTTAATGATCCCTTCACGGGCTTAACCACTTGAAGCTCAGTGTCTACTATATATGCCACCGGATTTAAAATGAAAGAAAGCACTGCATTTTTCCCCCAGAGCGTATTTGTGTGTTTCGTACGATTCCCGCAATAGGCATTTCTTCCCTAAAGAGAATTAACAGGATTGTCTTCGTAATGGAGACGCAATATGGTTTCTGTGGGGAAGATACTCAAATTTTAATTATTATTTAGACTAATTTCGTTGCACAATGCGGACGTCGTGTCTGCGCACCCTCATTATTTATTTACCTTCTTCTTATATTCCTGTAAGCGGCCTCCGTAGTCTAGAGGTAACGTTCCCACCTTATGACTCGTAGTACGCGGGTTCAAATACCCGGCGGAGGTCGTCGAATTTTTAAGGGCGGAAAAATTCAGGGAACAAGTCCTCCGGGAGAGACTTTAAGCCGTGGGTCCCGTGTCGTAGCTTTACGGCACGTAAAAGAAACTCATATCTCCAAAGGAGGTCACTGAGTCAAATTACGGACGTTTCCCGCCCAACAGCAGTCTCTAATACCTCTGGTAGATGGGGAAAGCATTATAGATACCTCTCAGCTAGTAGAGCCGGTCTCGCTGGCTGGGCGGGACTGATGGTAAGCACCAGTACCGGTAGGATATAGAGACTGGTAGAAATCATAGAGGGAAGCACAATGGACCAATACAGGTCTCAGTGCATGGGAAAACCCACCCTCTCCAATAACTAACTAACTATATTCCTGTAGCCCCCAATTGAAAAATAAGTTATCCGTCAAACGCTTCGTTTCCCGTCAGTTTCTTATCTAAGACAGTCGGTAGAATTTCTTGGACGGGTCATCAGCCCGTCACAAGGCGCTACCTAGTTCAAACACAGAATAAACACAGACATTCATGCCTTGATTGGGATTTGAATCCACGATCCTATTGTTCGGGCTGGCGAAGACATTTCATACCTTAGACCGCGCCGTCACTGTGATCGGCTTTTACCACCAGTGTTCGATTAAATTTCGTTTGATTTCGTCCTGTGAGCTCTAATTTCATTTGGTTCTGTACATGTGGGCTGAAATTTAATTTTGTTCCGCACCTGCGAACTCTAATTTCACTTTCTTCCGCACCTGTGATCTTTAATTTCATTTTGTTCCGCACTTGTATTCTGATGTCCTCAAAACAACTCATCCTCAAAGCAATGCAACACGACGTGTGACTGCCTAACTTCTGTAACGTGTAAATAAAACATATTTCGGCGTGATATCCAAAATTCTCTAGCTGGTGATTATTAAGAGTGCTCTGTTTTGGAACGTGACATGATGTGGTTACATCGGCTGGCACAATGCAGAAAGCTGTGGTCTTAAATTTTTGGTTGTAACACAGATTTATATTCCTTCTCTGTACAGTGCGTTTCACAAGAACAGATTAGTATCAGAAATACACTAGGGCTAATGCCAATGTAAGGTCGCAAATGTATACTCCAATGTCGAATGCAACTGTCTTCTTCATTATGTGATAACAGTGACTGTCTGATGAAGCATTCTGCCATTAGTCTTTAGTAACTTGTCTTGCAGTGCTATAACCGCCTCTGTGGTCTAATGGTCAGAGTTCCTGGCTGCAGATCCAGAGGTTCCGGGTTCGATTCCCAGCGCTACAAGATTTTCTGAGAAGTAGTGGGTCTGGTAGGGGTCCTCTCAGCCTCGTGAGGATAATTGAGGAGCTACTTGAATGGAAAAGTAGAGGCTCCGATCTAGAAAACCGAGATTAACGGCTGTGGGGATTCGTTGCGCTGACCCCCCGACACCCTCTATCCGCTAAAGTTTTCACTAACTTCGCCGACAAGCGGCGGTCGCTCGGTCGGTATAATTCGCTTGCGAACTAAAGCTACAGAGTTTGTTTCGGTGCTACAAGGATAGGGATACTGCATGAATATGACGTCAGTGGAGGCCATCCTGAACACTAGTAACGGCCTACATGTCCGGATGTCTTGTCCTAGCACTCCTCTCCCGGATTAAAGTACTACAAAAAATTGCTACCTCTTGCCGTCTCCAACAGTAGCAATATGAAAGCCAGTTGCTTAGTACGACGAACAGCAGCATCGACTGAATATCGTGGAGAAGTGGTTGGTTCTGCAGCTTCGTAGGCTTCAGGACCAGGACTAGGACTCTGGCCGCTCTGGCTATGACGAGACTTCCTGTGGCTGTCATAAAGAGCTCAACCTTCCGTTCTTTTTTCAGGTGTAAATAAACGTTTATGTTTTCTGTGAATTGTATCTAGTAAATATAATCTCTCATAAAAAAGATATGGTTGCCCCTGTGCTTAACTAATTAAGCACTATGCCATGAAGGTGTATGGGGGAGTAGATATAGAGATCCACGTTTTCTTGACCTCGGCACTAGCTGGAGGTGAGTGGTCAGCTTAACCCCCCCCCCGCTTTACCCCCGAGGAAAGAGCCTCCGGTATCTATTGAGTAAGAGACTGGGTGGACCCCATAGCCAGACTGGACGACGTGGAGAAGAGAAAATTCTTGACCCTACTGGGACTCGAACTCCGACTCCTCGGTCGTCCAGCCCGCAGCCAGTCGCTATACCGACCACACTATCCAGGCTCATGTAATAATAATAATAATACTAATTACTAACATGCTTAGAACTGCAAGAAATACAGTTGTGACCTGAAAAAAATTCGATGTTATGACCGTGTGCGCAATAATCAAACACGCTAACCCATACCCTAAAATTACAGGTAATTTCCGGAAGGGACTAAGGAAAACTAGGAGAAACCCTACTCGGTGTAGTCAGCGTCCCGTTCGAGATTCGAAACGGGGATCCCTCCAAATTAGAAACGGTACTGCGTGAGCCAACTTTTATGATCTCTGTCCAGAATTACTGTACTTTCTTTGTACAGAGAGTAAAGTGCACCACGTAACAAGACGACGAGTAGGGAATATAGGTGTCGCTCCACGCATTCTTAATTTCCGCACTAGATAGAAGTGAGTGGTCAGTTTTATGCCCTGACCGCTTTATTCCCAGGACACAGTCCCATTACGCTATGGGTAGGAGGCTGGGTGGGCCCCGGTCAGTTTTATGTCCTGACCGCTTTATTCCCAGGACACGGTCCCATTACGCTATGGGTAGGAGGCTGGGTGGGCCCCGGTCAGTTTTATGTCCTGACCGCTTTATTCCCAGGACACAGTCCCATTACGCTATGGGTAGGAAGCTGGGTGGGCCCCGGTCAGTTTTATGTCCTGACCGCTTTATTCCCAGGACACAGACCCCGGTACGCTATGGGTAGGAGGCTGAGTGGGCCCCACAGCCGGTCTGGACTACTTGGAGAAGCGAAAAACGTATTTCCTCTCTCTGGAATGTACCTACGATTCCTCTACTCTTGAGGCCTTGGCCTAGTCACTATCCTGACTGAGCTATTCAGGCTCTTCTTGTAATGTGGAGTCGGTGTAGAAAGTGGAATGTGATGACTTGGGTGGCGAATATGGACAGGCCCATCGCTGTGACGAGTTACCGTGCGGCGGCATTCACTGCTGATCTACTTACATATTATTTCACGAGGATTGCTGTCTGAGGATCAGAAGTCGTGTGTGGAGAGGGGCGAGACATTGCGAGACATAAATCAGCCAGATCACGCCATCAACGTAACTTGTTTTCGGATTATTATTTCATATTCTAAACCCTGCGTTGGTGTAATAGTTTAGCCCGAAATTTCGTGACTTCTCCAACCGAATTTAATATCTTTTTGGATACCTAAATTACGGTTATAACACGTTTGGGTAATTGTGCCACACGTTTCCACGCGCCACGAGAGAGCGCCATAACGCAGACTGTGGCAGAAGAAAATTGTAGCGAAAAAGAAGAGCGAAGTGGGAACGATAGCCGTGGTAGTAGAATGGGTAACGGTTGTGCTCCTGCATATTCGGGACGTCCTTGGTTCATATCTTGGACGAGACTAGCTATCCACACTGAAATTCTGAGTAGTTTTCCTCTGTCATCCGAGGCAAACCCCTTACTACCTTAAATTTGGTCCCAAACCGCTTCCTGCCCCATCCTCTTCAATTCATTATTCATCCAATCATAAGACCACAAATAAACACAGTAAGGTAGGCAGCCCGAGGGGGAGAAAGAGAAACTATGGCAGGTCTCCGTGTCAGGCGGACCGGTCGGTCCTACAAGTGGGGCATACGAGAAGCGACAGCAACACGGCGTCAGTGCCCGTTTAGAAGCGGTTACGAATGCAGGTGTGACGTCAGACCCTGCAACTAGTGCCAGTCTACTATGGTAACTACACAGACACATAGTTCTATACTACAGTGAGGTGCTGAATTTATGAAAACCGTACAAGTTAAGAAATTCGGATTTCTGTCTTCTGTGACGTGATGTCGTGTGGGCGGGTACCGAACCTGCTGCTCATGTCTTCAGGGTGAAAGGAACGAAGGCTGTAGGTTCATCCGAAACGGTCTTACCCGTCCACCAAACTACACGGCGCCAAATAACAAATCAGCGCCGAGAGACTGATTCTGGAGGGTCCGTTCTCTTCAGTTTAATTATCTCAAAAACCGGAAGACCCCGGAAGACTTCAGTCATGAAGTGAAGTGCGCGTTTCATTTCTCTCTACAACGCTCGTTGTTCGCGATATATTTAGCCGCTTGGATAAGAGTTCAGCACAAAAGCGCACGTAAAGTGTCCGTTATTTTGTTCGATTTTATCTCGAAAAATGTCGACAAATTTTATCTCCATAATATAACATTTTATTAAAATCCATTTAACCTTTCCTGAGACACGGACGCGGTTTGAATCCCGTCAGGGGACCAATTTAATTGAAGCATTTACTGATTCTATGGACGAAAGCTGTGATTAATCCTTCCACGTGCCTCCGTCTCAACCATGTTTCCCCATACTGAAAGAACCGTGATTCAACGGCGGTAGGCGGCTGGGTTAAGCCTAGGGGAAATTAACACATTTACACTGGTCGGTCTGATGCTGTTTCATGAAATGAGTTCCTCATATTTATATAAATATTATAATTCCTCACATTCGCAAGTGGACAATTCTGTCGGACAATGGAAAATGTAACAGGTCTGTATTTAAAATTAAATATAAAGTCCTAAAGCGCGTCTGATCTCGTCTGCTGTCCAAAAACATGAAAATTAGAATATACAAAACTATAATTTTGCCTGTGGTTTTGTATGGGTGTGAAACTTGGTCTTTGTCATTAAGGGAGGAACATAGACTGAGGGTATTTGAGAACAGGGTGTTGAGGAGAATATTTTAACCGAAGAGGGCTGAAGTGACAGGAGTTTGGAGAAAACTGCAGAACGAGGAGCTTCATAACTTGTATTGCTCTCCAAGTATAATTAGAATGATCAAGTCGAGGAGGATGAGGTGGGCATGACATGTAGCACGAATAGGGGAGATGAGGAATGCATATAGGATATTGGTATGAAAGCAAGAAGGAAGGAGACAACTGGGAAGACAAAGGCGTAGGTTGGACAATTTAAAATGGATCTTAGAGAGATAGGATGGGATAGTATGGATTGGATTGATCTGACTCAGGATAGGGACCAGTGGAGGGCTCTTGTGAACACGGTAATGAACCTGCGGGATCCATAAAATGCTAGGAAATTCTTGAGTAGCTGCAGATTTGGCTTCTCCTCAAGAAGTGCTCAGCTCCATAAGTAAGTAAGGGCGCATCTGAGCAGAAAATATCTTCAGTGTTTGAAGCTGCAATCTAAACATCTGTGCCTCACCTTGTCACAAACCCGACTTCTTGACGTATTTATCTTAAGATTGATGCCATAGGCCTTTATTCTAATGCTTCCTGCAGCCTCTAATTGTGTTTTCACGAATTCCACTGTTCACATAACAACCTGCCCACTTTCTCCCGGACCCATGAAGCCTGCAGACCTTGTCTACAAACCTAGCAACACATGTGTCCTCTAAAGCTTAAGTTCGTCCAAATAATATTTAAAGACTCAGTTCCCAAAGCACAGAAAGCATGCTGCCCAGTTAAGGCTATTTAATGCAATAATCGCTCTACATACGTTGTGAGGATCATATGAAACACGTAAATACACTGCGAGGGAGAAATGTGATTATTGTGTACGTAACGGCATTGTGCACATAGCCTACAGTTATGGCTGTCTTTTAAATGGTTTCCTCACGCTCACAGTGCGATCAAATGATTATCCGGATGTTTCTCATCCCAAGTAGTGATTTTATTTTGACTAAATCTCGTACTGAGTGTCTACAGGAATTTAATTTGGTTTGCACCAGTTCAATATAACATATACACTTTTAGTGTCGTTAGACGGACATACAGATGTGAACTCGGTTACATAAGCCACTAAAAAGCACAGTTACTTGAAGACATACATCATCTACTGTACATTTATTGAACTGAAAGAAGTTACGAGTTATAAGTGCAGCACAACAAAGCTCGTGATTCTGCTTCCTATATAGACTTGACAGGATTCTGACGATGGTGTATGCTGTACAGAACTATTAGGCTTATTTTTGACTCTATCCATCGTCTGGTATATAGAAGACAAAAACCGCAACGTTTCGGAGACTGGATCTGTCTCCGTCCTCAGGTGGTTGGGGTAGGATGAGCCTACTCAGTTGTGCCCGTTAGAAAGAGCAAGTCTCAATTACTCAATCCAGAATAACGGGCCCAACTGAGTAGGTTTACCCTGCCCCATCTACCTGAGGACGGAGACAGATCCAGTCTCCGAAACGTTGTGGTTTTTTTCTTCTATATACCAGACGATGGATAGAGTCAAAAATAAGCCTAATAGTTCTGTACAGCATACACCATCGTCAGAATCCTGTCAAGTCTATATAGGAAGCAGAATCACGAGCTTTGTTGTGCTGCACTTATAACTCGTAACTTCTTTCAGTTCAATAAATGTACAGTAGATGATGTATGTNGATCACACTTCACGAAAATCTATTCCGGGACTCCCGAGTTGTTACACGCGATTGGAGAGGAAGTCGGATTTTTGTAACATTTTGTTGTGAAGGCTCCGAAATGCTACTCAGGCAAAACGAAACGTATTCGAAATTTAAATAGATTGCATCATTAAATTATCATTATTACATCATATAGCGCAATCGATACAGAGACTGGCTACGGGCTAGACATCCGAGGGATCGGAGTTCAAGTCCAGGTAGGGGTAAGTTTATTCTCCTCTCCACGTCGTCCAGACCGGTTCTGGGGCCTACCCAGCCTCTTATCCAATCGGTACCGGGGGCTCTTTGCCCGGACGTGAAGCTGGCCGCTCATTTAGAACTAGTGCCGAAGTCAAGAGTATGTGCAACTATACATCCACTCCCCTATACGTTTTCATTGCGTAGTGCTTAATGAATTAAGTACAGGGACAACTTGTAGCTTCGACTGTNCCGGGGTTAGATCTCTTAACTGTCCAGAAGGGCTGTGTTACCCACAAACTTGCCTCGGTTAAAACGATCACCCACACCCTTAAGAATACACAGAACTTCGTGGCATGGCGTTTAGACAAAGCGACAACGCGACACTGCATAAATAGCAGTGTTGTTTAAGATCAAATGAATATTTAAGGTCAAATGAAAGGAATGGAATTCGTCGGGGACTGAGCAAAATCATGCAATGTCATGGTCAATATTTCAATAATGCAAAAAAAAAACGAACGTTTTGCAGTTGAATGAGGTCAGCAACTGCACAACTTCAGATATGTGACTATAGCAATGTACACCCAACCCAACATGGCTGACACAGTAGCTGTGACATGCAGCACACAACAATAAAAGAGGATCTAAGAAAAGCTTGAAAGTCTGAATCCACAAGAAACACGAATTTTTAAATTGGTTCACTTGAACACTTGTCGAGAAATTTCATCATCACCGTTATTTGCGACTGACCTTTACTTCTGGGGTGCTAAATATTTTGAAAATAAAAGAGATATCTATATATCTGGAAGGGGCAATATGCTGCAGGCCGGAAGGTCACGGGATCGAATCCTGATGAGGTCAATTCTTTCAATTTACCTAATCCCTCCAGCAGCACTATGGTCCTGGGGTTGACTTAGCCTCTAACAGAAATGAGTACCAGGAATATTCATGGGGGTAAAGGGCGGCCGGTGCGAAGGGCTGACAACCTTGCCGCCATCTATGAGCCGTTTGTCTAGAAAATGTGGAACCTCAACAACTCACAACCCTATAGGCCTCCACAGCCTGGTACAGGGATACCTTTACGTTTTTTACTTACTTACTATATATACGGAAATATAACTCTTAACGCTGTTTCATATGTCTACAGAAACAGGAAGAGGAAGGAGAAGCGTTGAGAAGAACCACTGCACTTAGAAGAGAACCAGGAGACGTGAAGAAATTGGTGTAATATGGAGCTTCATGATTTATACCGTTCGTTCACTATTGTTAGGGCGAGCAAATTAAGATGGATAAGATGGGCAGTGGACATAGAACGCATGGAATAAATTACAAAGGTGTACAAAATTTTGCTCCAAAAATATCACGGGAAGATACTGCTTGTGACACCTGAGCATATACGGGAAAATAACATGAAAATAAATCTTGGACAAATAAAGTGAGATGTGAACAGAATTTTGGCTCAGATGAAAATAACACGGAACCTCTGGGTTCTGTAAGAGCACAGAACGTCTTGATCAAGTGACTTATCACTGAGTCCCCTAGCTGGCTGGATAATTAACATTCGAGTGCTACAAAAACTAAAAACGTTTTGGATAAATATACCCAATGTCATAATACACTTAATTTCGTGGTACCATATTCAATTCAGCATGTGGTTCACTACAGTCTTATATGGATTGCTCCAGGGGCCCATTATAGAGCCATCTAGGGAAAAAATGCGAAAAACATCAAATCTAATTTTATGGCAAATGTAGTGTGTCATACCAAAATATAAGGAATGTCACAAAATTTGATAGGTTTTAGCTATAAGTTCATTGTAATCTATATACTGCTCTTGTTTCCAGATTCTCACCCTTGTACTCCTTGCTGGGGTTCTCTTCTCCACTATATCAACAGAAGAGATTTCAACCCTTGATCCAACAGAACAAGAACCTGACTATGATGTATCTGTACCAAGCAATGAAGCACCAGCAGATTCTGGTAGTGATGGACCAACTGAAACCTTCAATGAGATAAATACATTTCCTTCAAGAGCAACGGATACTAACATAACAACTGAAGAAGTTAATAAAATCCTAGCAGCTAATTCTGAAGTGCCACAGCTGTCAAGAAGTGAAATACAGGAGATCTTGGACAACATTACGGATGTCATGCCAGGAGGAGATCCAGTTTCTGAGAGTACCTTTCAGATAAACACACTACAACCGGGAAATTACAGAACACATGAAGAATATTTGAGAGCTATGAGGGCGCTGATGCTAGTACTGCCTTATAATGCCATGAATCTCAGCAACTCAAAAATGCAGGAGTTATACACAAAAGCCCCAATAATACAGTTCATCGGAGAAAACTCAGAAGTTGTGACTACAACCACCACAGAAATGAGACCTTCAGTAGCAACCACTGCTGAAGAACCACAACAAAATGAGCAATACTATAAACAACAAACAAAATATCCAAATCATCATGAAGTATACCATAAGCCCTATGAATCAAAACCCACAGATTTCAAATCAAATTATAATTACGAATCACAAACAAAAGGACCAATAACCACATTAACAACTGGAAGCATTTCAGCAACTACAAGACTTAAGCACAATCAGCATCGTCGACGTCGCCCATTGGTTACAACAGCAAAAGCCCCTGGAAGTTGTGAACATCAGTTTACCAATCAGCATTGTCAGACAGCTAAGTTATCTTCAAGTGAACAGACTCCAACAACAGTGTATCCACAAATAACTGGCACTTACAATACAACAGACCAGTATTACCAATCAATCAAGTTGTCATCAGTACAAGAAGCTGTAACAACAGTTTATCCAGAAAGGCTGAACACGCAAGAAGGCAACATGTCACCCAGTCACATAAATCCAAACTACAATGTTCAACTCCAGTCACAATTTCAAAATACAGCTCAGCATCACAATGGAATGCAACCGAACATCAGCCAAAAAATAATAAAACCAACCAGTACAACAGTCAATGAACACTATTCATCAACAGAATCAACAGGTATTGGACTTGATCTTCCCTCTGACATTAGAAACCTGCTAACATCTTTCAATTTAGATCATGAGCTACCAGTCCACAACACAACAGAACAGGTGACTCTGTTTATAACACCAGCAACAGATGGATCCGTTTCACAACCAACCAAGTATAGTAGCCTGTATTCTGCAAGTGAAATAGTCACAACACAAAAACCAGTCATGCGTGACGACATTAAGGAAATACTTGCATCCATCGGTCTCTTTCCAGACAAAGAGACACACAATAAAACACCTGGAACTTCTACAACAACTGCCATGCCAGATATAGCAACAGCTGCAGAATCCTTGTCATCTGAAATGAAAGAGCTTCTTATTTCTTTTGGACTCCTGCCATCACCAAATGATATCCAGCAGGCTACCAAAAGTCAGGATCACAGACAGGCCTATGATCAACAAGCGGCAAGTCCAGTTGCTGATCCCAGTTCATATCTCAGTTTCAAGCCCCTTCCTCTGGCAGCAAATGAAAACAAAGAAGATGAAGAAGATAAATACCTAATGAGTAGTGACATGAAACAGTTTCTAGCATCTTTTGGTTTGGTGTCAACATCTGATGCTGAGGAAGGATATTCCAATAGTGGAAGCTTTCATGAACACAGTAATGTCCATGGATTCAGGTCACGGAAAGCACTTAAAACAGAGGCTCAGACTTTGATGAATAGCAGTGGTAATTTAACTAACCAGGAATCTGGTCATTCAGTTGAGAACTCTAGTGAAACAGTGCCTCATATCAACATGGACTTGTTGACTGATGAAATGAAACAAGTTTTAGAAAATCTCGGATTGCTTCCTTCTACAGAATTACCAACAAACAATAATGAAAGCCACATTTTCAATCCCTCAGCCCACTCAGCATCACTCCATCCCACAGAGGAAGAAGCCCAAAGACTGTCAAAACTCTTAGACACCATAAAAAAGCTCATGAAAGAGAATGGAACCATTACTCAAGATGAGATTGATGGCCTGAATGCATCTATATCCTTCATTCTTCCACCTGTTCCTGTGGAAGACAGCAGCAAAACAGCTCAGTTGGCAGAAGATCTGCCCACAACATTATCTGAAGAGAGGAAAGAAGGCAGTAATGCTGTGCCTCTGCATCACATAAAAGATGCACCTAACCCACTGTCTCTGGAGGAGCTTCTGCTAGTACAAGAGGACAGCAAAAATGAAATTAAACGCCAGCAGCCAAATAATGATACTTCGATTGAAGAGACTCCCAAAGATGAAGGACCATCTTTAACAGATCTTGCAGCTTCTTTTGGTGGTGGCAATACTGCAGCTGATGAAGAAAGTGTGGATGATGCATTACCAACAAAGAAGCCAAATGGACTGTATTTTCTCCTTGACTGGAACACTTTCTTAGATGTTGGAGAAGAAGGTAGCAGCAGAAAAGTAAATCTGCATTTTAATCCCAGACTTGGAAATAGTAGAGCTTTTCTACCAGTAACGGTTCCTTGAATAGTTTCATACACAGAAAACAGATGTTTTTATAGCAGTTTGAAACAAGTCTTGTGTGATGGTGTGGCAGACAGTTACTGCAATATTTGGGAGAACCCGGATGTTACTGTCATCAGGATGAAGTGGCCTGTATATTTCTCAGTCATGAAGCATTGGGGAATTCCAATCAAAATGGAGAATTCCTATTGCTCTCTCGCATGGGACTATAAATATCACTGAAAGACCACTGATCCCCTTTAACATGGAGTCAGCTGGGCTTCCCAAAGTGTTATCAATCAAGAATGAAACACAGATTGGCCCAGTCAATAAAATATAGCCACTGGACAGCCAAAACTCAAACCTGGTAATGTGTTAGAATAATGTATCAAGAAACAATTATAAATATACTGAAGGGCAGATTATGTCAGTTCTTCCAATCCAACCATCGATCTATATTCATGGATGTGTGTGTTAAAACAAATAAAACAGTGGAAAAGAGGCATAAATATTGTAAGATACTAATCTCTCTTTTTATCACAGTTCCTTCATACTGCAATGGAACAATATTCTGACAATAGACTAGAAGGGTATTATATCATAAAATTATGTTAGATTCCAACAACAAAAACTGTATACTGTGATGCAAAAAATACCACTCTTATGGATCAATCATAAGAACAGGTCTTTGTTAATTACTTATCCTTATCTGTGAAACCTGTTTCCCTATATGAATTTGAGATTCTCAGAGTTGTGTTTTAAGATCATGTCTTCCATGTTAGCCATGCCAAATAAATGGGGATAATATGAACAATACAAAGCTAACAGGTATTTCAGGTATAAAAAGGAGGAATACCTGAAAGGTAAAATTAATGAGCTTGCTGCACATAATAGGCACAATAGACATGTATAGATGAATAAATGAATTTAAGAAGTGTTACCAACCTAGAACTAACTTGGTAAAGGATAAGAATGGTAATCTGCTTGAAGACTGCCACATTTTAACAGGCAATAGAGTTTCTTCTGTCAGCTGTTGAATGTACATGGGGTCAGTGGTGTTATACTGATGGAACTTTCCACGCACGGTAGTCCAGCGAATCTAAGTTAGGATCTACCCTAGGGATGAAATTATGCTTCTGTTAAGTTTGCCTATTCAATTACAGCCTCTAAGATGTTATGGACAGACCATATTTACTTTATGGACGAATCTGGCTATTCTGATTTATGAAAAAGACGAGGGTTTCAACTTCCCGAGAATGTAACGTAGCTGACGGATTAGATAACTTTTGCAGAAAATATGCACGTACTATTGTACAAACATCCCGCTCACAGATCGGCTTGGAACACAGCTACTACGTTTACTCCATAGATGTCACCTCAGTCATAAGAGCGGTAGATGCTGTCATCTGGTGAGGAGGAGCCTAAGTATGCTAGCACACGCAGAGCAACTGTTAGAATGTAATGGTCTATGCAAGTCTCTGTAGAGGTGAAGTTTTGTTATGGTCCAGCCGGTAGATCGGAATTCGGCGGTAGTGCCTGTAGTGGCTGTCAGAATGTGTGTGTTGCTTTGATAATTCTTTGTTTCACTAAATCTGTTCGTGTCACCAGAGTATTCTACGTACTGAGATGTGTTTAAGAAAAATAGTTTATCACTGTGAACACTGAATCTGTCAAAACAGGACTGCGTGAGGGGTTTGACCGGTAAGTAAGTAATCAATAGTTTCTTTCATTCGTAAACATGATATTGTTGTATAATGCCTTTATGACTCGAACCAAATGTAGTGTGACGTTTCGGAGCTTTATGGAAGCTAGCCATATAGAGTCCGCAGTGAAATGTATACATTGTCATTGAAAAATATGTTCGAAAGTTTTTTCGAGAAGATTGTGTTTTGAAGAAGGATGCACATGTTTGTAGCTGAGAAGCGAATGGGCTATTTGTTAGATTTGTGTAGATAACGTTCCGAAATCAATTGTCGTATACTAGGCCTACAAAGAATATCGCTGCTGCTAGAGTCCGGGCTCCTGTATTCCGAAAGATATTTCAAACTGTTCATACCACGAAATAATGACATAGTATATCCCAAGGTATAGCAACTACGATGATGTATTGATTTATAACTACTTAATGTGTGTTAAATCTGTGTTTGGATGTTCCATAAAAGTGATATCGAACGAGTGGTAAATTCAGTAGTTAATATTTTTATTGGTAAAACATAATACAGTATGTATTTTGCCATACTGTCTGGGGTATGCGAAGATTGTGATGCTTTTAAGGCAAGGCATCTTAATCTGGCCGAGTCAAATGGGTAAAGTATCTGACGAATTGGAGTAGGAAAATGGTAGCTCTGGACCCAATATCCTCTGGACAGTGTTAGAGATTGAATAGTATCCAAAAGAAAACGTGTCGCCGAAGAAATACACCACACATTCTCCATTAAATCTAAAAACGTTCTCGTTGAGATATAATATTCTCACGGAAGTGAATGTGAAGAATGTTATCTTCTAGGATGTTACGCCATGTAGTCAGTACAAGTTTGCCTACATTTCAAAGGGAGATAACTGCTTGCATTCCTAGGGTCCAAGCATAAGCAGTAAGCACGTTGGCTCATACGGTAAACTGTTCAGGCTTGTGGTCGGAGGGAGGTTCTTGCTTCGAATCTCTGTCCGAGTATCGGGTGTCTTGATTGAGGGTTTTCGTGGTTTTCGTTAGTACGTCCAGGCAAATATGCGGATAGTACATGAAATTAGGAACGACCTCGTCCTTCGAAATCCCTTCCAATTTAGTATTCACAGTCATTCGACGCTATGTAAGTTGAATTACCGAAGGCATCATTAAATAAGTACAGATAATAAGTGACGCTGTCGGACGCACACGAAGAACAGCTCCACCAACAGTTGTGTTGCAAGGGGAGCCCTTACAAGGACTGAAGAGGTGAATGAAGAGATCCACCCTCATTGCTGGGACAGCTGTGCCGAGCAATTCGATCACTGATGTCGTTATCAGTTTCAAGCCAGAAAAAAGTAAGAATATTGGGGGGGGGGGCTGAGGGGAGGCTATACCAAGCCAACGCCCTGGTACCTGGGTTTTGTAGACGGAGGTACCGAGGGCATCATCACCAGTGCTCACTAGCCCAGGCGATCATGAAGAAATCCACCAACCCCAGAGAGTAAGTTCTACGAAGCGTTATAGACAACGGCCACGGAACTGTGAATTTCTCTTCGACAGTTGCGTAATTTGGTAGACTGCAGATTCATCTCAGTAACTTCAGAAGATAGATATTCTGTGGCTATATTACAGGAACGTCAAGCGGTATATATTGTGTACTGCTTAGGAAAACGATCGGTGTTTATTCTAAGAATGGCGGTAGAGGCGTATGTATACAGAGCGGACAATTGGAGAGTTCATGCAAAATTAAAGTGGGTGGCGCATAGGCCAAATTAGGCAGGGGTACATAGGGTATGTGTGCTATGAAGGATTTTAATTGCTTTTAAATTTCTTGGGATGGGTGAGACTGAGTCCATTTGGTACGTCGGCCACTATTTGGCCTATTGTACCAGCCCTGGATGATAGATGATGATGACCGTGAAGCATTCGGTGGAATGAGAATTGGAAGGGGAAACTGAAGTACTCGGAGAAGACCTGCCTTAGTGCCACTTTGTCCAACACAAATCCCACATGACATGACATGACCTGACCTGACCTGACCTGACCTGACCTACGACGGTCCAGACGCTGCCTCGCATTCCCCTATGAAGGATTAGTAAATACGTTTCATGGCGATGCGTATACTTTTCATTGTACTCCACCTTCGAAGTAAGGCATGGTGGAGACCGTGCCATAGCTCAGGTGGTTAGACACCGGATTCGAGCCCAGGTCAGGTCATGTGGGATTTGTGGCGAACAAAATGACATTGGGGCAGGTTATCTCCGAGTATTTGGTTTCCCCTGCTAATCTTCATTCCATCAATTGCTCCACAATCACTATCATCTATCATCTGGGGCTGGTACAGTATGCCAGTAGTGGCCGCAGTACCAAGCGGACTTAAGTCTCACCCCACTAATAATAATAATAATAATAATAATAATAATAATAATAATACATAAATATAAATAATAAGGCATGGGGGTGTGGGAGAAGAGGGAAGGAATTTCATTGTCTCTGAATGCTGTATCCCATATTTTATGCTGAATGCATCTTGTACGACACAAGACAACACAGACTGTGCTGTCTGGCGCAGCCGTAACGCTGTAGATATGTGTTTCGGGAGATGCTCTGTTCAAATCTCGGTCGAGACACCGTGTCTCCAGACAAATCCTGGTGTAGAAACCCTTTCCAGTTCACCATTCATGAATCACCCGATCATTCGACGCTGTATAATCTCGATACTGACAGCTCTGTAAACTAACCCCTCCCACCACCACCACCAAGGGATCACTGTTTCCTCAAGGAGCGACTGGCCCGCTCCTCACATGTGTGTACCGGAGTGCCCGGGGGTACGGGCTATTTTAATCAGCCCACAGTTCTCCATGGGCCGGTCAACACCCATCACCCGTGTCTTTGCGATGGCCATGTGTGCTGTGTCTGCAGGGGTGAACAACTAGCTAACAAAGCCACGCCGCATCTGGTTAGACACAGCATTCTAAGAAAGAAGTTTGGTTTCACTACCATCGCCAGGTTACGTTACACATGTCGGCTTCTCACGACGGTCCAGACGCTTTGCGAAGTTTGGGGGGGGGGGGATAGCAAGGGGGACCCAGAAAATGATTGTAGAAAAAAAGTAAAGCTGTCCCTGTAACAGACCGTGGAGGCCCATAGGGCTGTGAGAGGTCGAGGCTCCCACATTCTCTAGACAATCGGCAGACAGCGGTGACGTCAATCTTACGCGCCGGGCGCCCCTTACCCCCAAGAATATTCCTTGTACTCATTTCTGTTAGAGGCTGAGTCGGCCCCAGGGCCATAGTGCGGCTGGATGGATTGGGTCAATTGAAAAAATCCACCGCATCGGGATTCGTTCCCGCGACCTTCCGGCTTGTAGCATAGTGCCTCAACCAACTACGCTACCGCATGCCCCTAATTTTTGTTGTTCATTTTAAAAGATAAATCCGGGGCGGCGGGGCAGATGACTTCCCCCCGCCCGTCGGTGAAGGTGGATTTAGTTCTGTTTGTGTAGTTTGTTCGGCGACGTTGTGAGAAACTCAAGACTATATAGCGTCGAATGATTCGATAATTGTGAACGAAGCGGGTGGAAACGATTGACCTAACTGAACGCACTGACCCGGTATTTCCCTCTAGAGAGTGAGGAAGATCACGAAGGTCCTCAGTCAGGATAGTCGGCTGGCCGAGATTTGAACCGGGCACGTCCCGATTTTTTTTAATGGTTCAGGCCGATCCTGTGAACACGGCAATGAACCTTCGGGTTCCATAAATGCTGAGAAATTCTTGAGTAGCTCCAGATTTGGCTTCTCCTCAAGAAGGGCTCAGCTCCATAAGTCGGGCCGATCTACACCACAGGGCCACAGTTCAGTTGTTTGCAGGGGCTGGTACCCATCATTGTGCCCAGAGGACCACCCACCGGCGGCTAGTGCCCAGGAATGCGTTGAGGGTGCGCCACACGTCGAGAGGGCGACGTTTTGAAGCAGGAATCTTTGAACGCC